GCAATAACACCAAAACCTACATCATTTGTTATCTACCTTTCTATGTCAATAGAACGTCAAGGTCATATTCTGAAAATTTTCAGTCACATAAAGCGAATTTCGATCAGTTGTCACACAAATTTTGCTTATAGCTTTAGGAAATTTTGTTTTATTATTCAATTGATTTAGGTATAATTTAGAAACGAAATCTTGAGTTGAAATAAATAAGTAGGGCAGTCTAAATGTTCAAAATGCCATTGCTGAAAAGTCACAGCATTTATAAATAAACAAGGGTTGTTCGTTTGTATATGTATTTAGCTTTGTTATAATTAGATTTTAAGGCGTAATAGTGACATGCAAACCACGTAATCAAAAATTCAATATGCTCAATATCTGTGTGACAGGTAGAGTACACGCAGCAGTATTTCAAGTTACTATAACAGACTGGATTTTGTAAACATAACAAACTGTCTTAATATGGATTGAAGAAGAAATATTAATTCTGTAATTAAAATTAAAAAAAAACGTAATTGCATTCTTTGTATTGTTTATTTATCTATTACATTTTCTTTTCTTAGTAGAGTTACTAGTGCTCTAGTACAAACTCATAAACTTTATCCTTTAAATATAGGTAAAGTGAAATAGTGTGTGGATCGGTCGATCGATCTCCATCATTTCAAATAGTAACATAGCCCAGCTGCCAGCTAAGTGTAATAAATAAAGCCCTTTCCCTTATACAACTATGCAAAATGATTGAGAAATATAAGATTTATCTATGATGGTTGCTATGATAAGGGTCTGATTTCACTCCATACATGTATACTTTGTTTTCTCTGCTGACGCTACTAGCCATCTCGATGTCCTTTAGAGTGTTTACATTGCAAGAATTGCGCCATTGACGACACACTAAACTCGACCCATGGCTCGAGAAATTAAACGCGGTTGAATATGTGGCGCGGAAATTTGTGTCTGTCTGTCTGTTATTTCATAACATCTAAATTACTATATAAATTGACATGAAACTTCGCATATATATGAGGAATTTCTTAGAACAGAACATAAGTTTAGTGTTTTAATAAGGGTTATAAAATTTTTCTTTATAAAAGCTCATAAATGTAGTGTATAGCCATTATGGTCAACTTAAGTTATGTAACTTAAACCGTGAACTGTTGACACCGAAAATTTGTAGGCATATTGATATATTATTTCTTGGTATTTGATGGTTCATAAAATTTATGGCAGCCGAAAAGATTAAATTGTTAAATAATATATTATTATGTAGTCTCAGGTCATAGATCAACGTCACATAAAGAATAAACTTAATATTTTAATAATGACAACAAAACTTTCATTGTCTTTATGTTTCCTTGGTACTACGATACCCATATTGGCATCACAGTTTTGTTTTTAAGATGGATTTCTTTTAAGAATTTACATTTAAGAACGATAATTTAGAAATCGTAAAAACTATTTGCATATTATATTACTGGTACTCACACCCCAGATGCTAAGTGCATCATTAAAATACTTTGACATATGAAATTGATTTATTACTTAGATTTTTAATGTATTCGCAAATAAATATTCATCCTTCTACTTAACCAGTTAATTAAATCAACAGTTGAGATGCCGCTGAAACATTAATTAAGGATTCAAATATAATTGGTGTGTGGAAACGCTACTGCTTGCTTTGACTGTAATTAACAGATTACAGTAATTATTATTTATAATGAGTTAAACGTATCTTCATTTAAAATATCTATTTCTAACTATTTCATGAAAAATTATTTAAATCATATTCTTTTTTTTTTTAATTTAAGATGTGGTTGAATCAAAATAAAATATTTTATTATATAATTGAGTTTTTATCGGGAATCTCTAAAAGTCCCCTAGTGTCCGTTAATTTTATTACCTATAGTGACATTGGTTCGTAATAATCATATCATTTTGCAATAATTGGGTTGTAAACATATGTTTAGTATGAGTTTCCTGCAGACCTCTGTCTTCGTACATTTTTTAATTGTCTTCAATATGTCCAAAAAATATCGAGTACGATAGTTTTAGTGAAATTAAAAAATATTACCTAAGACTATGCTGATCGTGCCTTTTAAGTGTTAAAAAAAATACCAAAAGTAAAGATTCCAAAGTTCAAATTTTATATATTTCAAATTTATATCGTTTATTCTGCTAACGAGATATATATAGTATATCTCGTCAGCAGAATAAACATACATATAGTTAAAGAATTTACTTAAAAAAATACAAAATTTTGTATTTTGTGAGACTCGGCCACACTAAGATGTATGATTAGGTCCAGCTAGTAACCTTAATTTGAGACTGCTTCTGTTTATAAATGGTTAATTAATTGACTGTACGACGCCGACTGAAGGTAGTTCTAATATTATTACCAACTAAATAGAAATAAGTAATGGCGTATATAATTATTCAATGACGGTATGAAAATTATTACGTTGGCCAGCCTAAGGCAGCAAAATAATTTTGCTTATTTATGTCGTCTGTCGGTTGCTACGCCTAAAATTTTCAATCCAAAAATAAAAATTATTTCTCGATCGGCAATAAATACAATTTTAAGTTTTAACCGACTTTTTTAAAAAAGGAGGTGAGTCTCAATTCGTTTATATTTTTAGTAATTACAATAGTAATTAAAATGATATATTGTAATTTTCATATAAATAATATTATTAATTCAATGTTAATTCAATGCAACAATCAAATATTTCCTTTTTATATAGTAAGATAATCTTCTTGGCTGTGACACAACTCTTTGAAATATGATGTCATTTTCTTCATTTACAGTTTGAAATGTGAGAAAATTAGAGTAAATAAAAAAATTTGTAGTGAAACTAGCTTCGTACTAGGCTAACATAACTTCGTAAAACACTTTTTCTATTCAGATAATATTATTAGTGTTGATTTAATGTGAAACAAGTATGATCACTATTTGACTTACAGAATAAACCAGAATAGTAAATGCAGCTAGTCACTGCTAAACATAATTATGTAAAAAAAAAACAGATGCAGATCGTGCATTATACTTAAATGCTATGTAAATATCCACTTATTTGTATGGAAATAATGTAACCTTTGTTATGTGTCTGGAATCTAGAATTCCTTGACCAATTGTAGCCCAAAGGCATTGTGATCATTTGCTGAGATCTCTATATAAAATTTAATAGTTGTGAATATAACAAAACGAAAACGACCATGAGCAAAAAAAAATATGCGATAGGTCCAGTTGTTTTATTAAAGAGATTCATACGTAATTGATACATGGTTTATCACAAACGCTGATCAATACGAGATCTTTTAAATTACACATCGGAATTTAATGCATTGTTTTATCTTAGTTTATATACTTAAACTAAAAAGATAAACTGCAAAATAAATGAAAATCCTTTATCTATAACGATAGTGAAAGGTCTTTCTTGTGCTGAAAACTTTTATTTATAGTATATGGAAAAATACAGATAATAAAAGGCGGTGTACCGTTTACTATAAGGTCACCGAGAAGTTTAATGACTACTACTTATATTAATTAATAAACTGATGCAAATTGTCCTTCGATTGACGCATCTTCGTCGTAAAACATATTAAAAGAAGAATTTCACGTTTAACATTCCATGTTTTTTATTCGTTTGTTTAACGACTTCCCGATCTTTTGATGCTGACTTTTGTTGTGAGTAATTTTATATGTTATTTCCATAAAACCCTAAAAGACGATTGTCAATTAAAGAAATTACATTCTGATTTGGACCAGAACATGTACAATTAATTACATTTCATTTTTATAGTATATTTTTTTATTATATGTTCTGAACCTTATGTAACATATAAATCGCTTCGTCCGTTTTGCAATGCAACACACAGTGGATATTAACTATCATTCTCCTTTTTTTTGTTTTATAATTTCTATGTCAAAGTCAAAACTAGTCTTTATTCAAATAGACTTCTTAAAAGTACTTTTGAATCGTCCAACATTTTTTTTCCCTACCACTCGTTCAGGACGTCTTTTGGCTGATAAGAAGAACGAGCAAGAAACTCACCAGCTCTAATAAGAGTAATGACATTAACAAAAACCATGTCATTAGAGAGAAAAAAAAACTATAGTCTTATATTGTAGAAACGCACACAAAGAGCCTTGAATGAGTTAAGACCCTTGAAGTATCGTGAATTAAAATTATGTACATCACTTTTTATAGAAAACAAACTAATATTTTTAAGAATGTACATTAAGTTCTCGTATATGTATTGAGAAGCAACAGTCATAATGTCTATTTCCTTAAATTTCTCCCTTAAAGAGTCCCTAATCCTAAGATTATAAATTGATCTAATTGCTCTTTTCTGAAGCACAAAAATTGTTTGTATGTCGGCAGCATTTCCCCACAATAGGATTCCGTACGACATTACACTATGAAAGTTATTGAAGTATACTAATCTGGCAGTATCTATGTCAGTTAACCTACGTATTTTCATTACGGCATAAGCTGCAGAACTTAATTATAAATTGTCTACTCGACAATTTATCAATATGTGGGCCCCACTGTAGTTAAGAATCTAATGTTATTCCTAAAAAGACTGTGGTATCCACAAGAACCATTTTCTTATCTTTTATATTAACATTTATATCTACTTTTTTAACAATTTATGCATTTTGTTTTTCTTTCATTAAGGAGAAGATTATTTACATTAAACCAATGTACTACTTTAGCGATAGAATTTTTGACATCGTCATTCAGAGGAAACCCTCTTTTAATTTTAAACAAAAGTGAAGTGTCATCCGCAAGCAAAACTATTTCGTGATCATTCCTTACGAAATAAGGCAAGTCATTTATGTAAATCAAAAACAAGAAAGGACCAAGTATTGAGCCCTGCGGAACATCCATCTTAACTTTCGTATCGTATGTTGTATCGTAATGCAAATAAATTCATAATAATTATTAAATAATAATACTTTTTTACTGCGTAGTTTATCGTAAGGATTTTTAATATAAGTAACTCACCTGGGTCTTGGCTTGCAGTATACCAGCACCATTCATATTGACGACGCCATTATTACACTGCGCCTTGTGCACACACACGTACCCCTGGCCGGCACAGGTCTGCTGCAGCTCACCACCGCCGTGCTCATGCGCGTGCACGTTACCGGTCGACTGGAACGCCTCATCTATGTTTTGAGTTTGCTGCTGTTGTTCATAATCGAACTCTGTAGCTTTTTGAGTATTTTGGATCAAGTTTACATTGGATCCCGCAGTTGAAGCGCTGAATGGACTGGGAGAAGATCCTGTATAACCTGATCCTCCGAATTTGCTGGAGGACGCACCGAATTGGCCACCAAATTGAGCACCGCCTGAGCCAGCTCCTGACGATTGGGAGTTGAAGTTGTTTTGTGATGAGAAACTCTGCCCTTGGCTTGAACCAAAGCTTCCTTGGCCGGTTGTACCGCTGCCAGTAGCGCCAGCACCGAACTGACTAGAATCGAAACCTCCTTGTGCGGTAAAACCGCCTTGTCCGAATTTAATGCCACCGTTTAAGAATGGGTTCTTAGTTAAATCTAGATCTCCTCCTTTGCTTGAACTGCTGAACGATGAGCTTTCGAACGAAGATGATTGGAACGATGAGGGCTTGATAGATTCACCGCCGGCACCAGTTGCAAATCCACCTGATAGTTTGGAGAAATCGCCGTTGAGGAATGGGTTCGCTGATATGTCAACACCGCCGCCGAGGAATGGTATTGCTCCGGCTGCACCCCCTGCGCTTCCACTACTGGAGAAGCTGGAGCTAGATTTGCTGAATTTCTCGAAATTTCCTCCGCCGGTTTTGAATGGAGAGTTTTGGTTCATCCACCAAAACGGCGGATTGTTTATAAAACCTTCTCCTAACGCACCTCCTGGATGGAATTGGAACTCATTAGATCCATCGGCCGCTACAGCGGCTTTGAAGGAATCTACGTTTCCGAATCTTTCGACGACATTACCGTCTTTGATTTTAAGACCTGCACACCCTTTATCGCTAGAGCAGCTCTCATAAGACTGCTGTGTGTGAACTTCAGCGCCAGGTAGCGCTTGGATTGCAGCTAGAACATCGTTTGGTGATTTCAAGTTAAGTTTAAGAGTGCCTGAAGTGCAGGTCGTGCAGCGCTCTTTTCTCGCTTGCGGCTCGCTCTCTTCTGCTTCTAATTTTAAATCTGTTTTTTGGGGTAGTTCTTTGACATCCTCGATGTTCTCAGGGTGTGCGTAGCTGGAGATCACCAGGCATATGGCCACCACTGCTGGTAGTAGTGGCTTCATTATTCTGAAACAAAGAAAGAAAACGGTTGAGGAATAAAAAAATAATTACATTTATAAATAGATAAAGAACCAAGAAATAAGGATTTTAGACTAAAATAAACATATTCATGTAGACTAGGTTAAATAGTGTGCCTGGAGGTTTTTACACACCCCCTGTCGCCTGCCAAGTGGCGAGGAAAGTGCGTAAAACATTCCCCTACGAGAAAAAAAAGGTTAAATGGTGTGCCAAATGATGATTGTTTGATAGGAGCTGAAATCTTCTGCGTTATTCCGTACAATTCTGTGTTATACCATAATCTCCTAATGGGTATTGGTAGCCTGGTATATAATTACGCAGTTTATTTTAATTGATAAAAATATCGCTTTTAAGGGAAATTCAATTTATATGTTATAAGTTTCTCCTGGAAAATTATGCAATTCTTACAACATAAATACGATTTTTACTATTATTGATAGGTACAAAGGTATGTTGTACTAATTGTGTGGTTTATAAACTTATTGCTAACCAGTTATATTAATGTTATTATTTTTATATAGATGTCGTACCACTCTTTATGTACTACGAAACTAATCGGCACATCATTAATATTTAAAATGTGGCATCCTTGACCTTTCGTTGGTTCTCCGATGTCTGAGTAGTGTTGAGATGAGAAAAATATTTAGTTTTATAACGTTTTTACCCAACACGTCACAAGAGAGTTATTTCTGACTAATTACTTGGTACTGTAGTACTGTTTGATTGTAGTGCGGCTAGCGCATTCGGTCTGCGATAAGAAACTTTCGCAAAGTAAGATCTGACATGTCTCTTTTTTAAATCAAAGCAAAGTAAGCATTTGTTCACTCTTGAACGCAATCGCGAACGATCGACCGATCGACATTGCAATTGTGACGTTTCGTACTTTTGATTTGGCACACTAGCGCCAATTGACTCAATATTGCGTGGTTATTGAATGAAATAATTGTCATTGAGTCTGTTTCAAGAGTACGAGCTAAGATTTGATAAAAATTGAGTTCGTCATTGGATTGGATTGAAATTGACATTGAGAGTGCGTTCATGTATAAGCTTGCTCTTGTATCGTGCTTGTTGGAAAATATGTAATGGGTTTCGAAATTTCGTTTTCTGAAAAACAGAGTAGGCTCCCTCATATTAATTGAAATTACTATAATCTTAATTATTATGATAAAAATTATCCTTTAGCGGCATTAAGTAAGTGTAATAGTTGGCTTTTTGGAAAACATATTGAAATGTCGGTTCCATAAACATGATGGGGGCTTGGTTTGAAGTTGAAATGTCCAAAACACTTTAATTATATATTGATGTTTAATAACATGTAACTTAATCAAATATAATATTATAATAAGCTGTCATTTAAATATATATTTAAACAGCTATGTAATACAACAAAGTATTTGTTGACAAATTTTCCGGTTGCTTTTTGTTTGCAGCTGTTTCGGTGTGTCTGTAAAGTTGCGTTAAAGATTTATTGGGCTAACATTTAGGTAGGTATATATTTATATTAAACCGTGTAGGTGTTAATTATTCAAAAGACTGCTTCCTTAATTTAATTTTTCTTAGTTACTAAATGTCGTCAAATGTTAAAAGTGACGTCCCAAAAAGCGATTTGTATAATTAATTAGATCAAATAATTTAGTATTTTAAGATATCATATATATGTAACACATTTTATTTTTCGCCAACCAACGACCGCGTGATTGAGTGTGTCTGACAACGATGATTTTTGTCGGCCAAATATGTTTTTACTCACGACATTTTCATCCATTACAATCAAACGTTTATCTGACGTGAAAATCATGCAAGTATCTTAATATTATCGTCATTTCAATCTTACTTTGACTTATTATGTTGAATTTAAACAGTGATTCTCAAATGTGAAGGCCGCCCTGCCTTCCTTTGATGAGCTGCTATATTTGGGCATCATGGGCCTATTGCTAAACTAGAATGTACACAGGAATTAGTAAGTTAAATTCCATTATATTCGCGCTAAAACACAAATCAACAATTTATCTGCATACCTACTATTTGCAAAATCAGAAACAGACACTCTTAATAGTTCATGATAGCCTGGTATTAAATGTCTAAAGGTGTGGTGTGCTTTCATTCTTCTGGCAAAGTATTATTTTGGTTTTGATTTTAATTTAAAATAAAGTCAGTTTCAATCATAATTTGCTTAGGTGAATACTAAAAACGTAAAAAATGCATTATAACCTTAGAATACATTAGCAATTTGATATAATCGTGATACTACATCACAAAGAGAGATTTGATTTTTACTACTGGAACTACTACTCACTTATAAAAAAATCTAATTCCAATACAAATCTTCTTAGTTTTATTATAAATAGTTCTTCTAAAAATAAATTTAACATTGTTTTTACTATTTTAGTAACTTAAAACATCCTTGAATATACTAATGAACATTATAAATCAGTATCATAAACAAACATGAGAAATGAAATGCCGCCCACAAATACACTCCTAGAGAAATCACTTGCTTCTACAGTTCTATACGTTAATGCCAATGCCAAATTAATAAGTTCATTATGATATTTTTTTCCTTTAAATTCCTATGTAAAGGTGAACTTAAATATTGCATTCCGAGGTCGAGCTATTGATCTTTACGATTTGGACCATTGTACCGAAGTAGGAAACACGTCAATAACTTCAGAAATTACAAATAAAATTAATTGCATTCACTAGTATTTTCGTGAATTCACCAGCACGAGGGCATATATGATTCACAGTTATCTAAGGCCATGTCGTAGGCTGAATAGTACGAATTATAAAGTTCGATTTAATGTATAATTTATATTAAACTTGTTTTGTGACATTGTTCTATTGGTTTTCATAATTTATTAATTTGTTTAAAAATGACAATAAAAAAATAACTATCGAGACAGTGTGGGTTGTTAATGGGACGAATCTCCTATGATTAGACCTTTAAAGGAGGACTAGCATCTGCCGTGCAGTTCATAAGTTGAGAGGAATTTTATTTTAATTTAAATAAATTCACACGTTTTAGTCTATCTATTTACTCCTGAAAGCTTATGTAATCCTGGTTGCATAATATTACAATATTCTACTACAAAGTTAACCTGAAAGATTTTTTATTATAATAATAACCCTCAATTACCACCCTAAATTTAATTATACTTTTGCTAATAAACAAACGAATATTTTAACTCATTATAGTTGTAAAAATATTTTAAAAATAGTTCTGGCCACGATAAAATCTTTTGTGTAGATACTGCCAGGACAGTATATAACAATTAGTTCCATAGCGTTATGTCGTACGGTAGTTTGCTGTGGGGTATGGCTGCAGACATAGATTCTGTATTTATTTTTCAAAAAAAGAGCAGTCAGAGCTATTTATCAATTAGTTTCAAGATAAATTCAAAGAAATTGTCTCCTTATTGGTATACAATTGTATACTTTATGTTAGAAAAAATATTAATAAATACATTAAACATAATCATATACACAATTTTAATACTAAAAACAAAGATAAACTTGTTTTGCCGTCATGCAGGCTAAAGAAAGTTGTAGCAATATCTATTAGGCAAAGCAAACAGAAATTCAAAATTTACCGTTCCTTAAATTTAAGACTCATATTAAAAATTGTCTATTTAGTAAAGGATATTATACTGTTAATTAAACAACAAAACTCCTTGGTGTTGAATATGGCTTATTTTTCACAAGTGTGTAGTGCTTGGGTGCAGTATTAAGCAGTTTACCGCTTATTTTTTTTTTCATTTTACACTACATTTATTTGATATGAATCGATTGAAGAGTAAATATATTTATTTAGTATATTTTCTAATATTGAGATGGAAAAGGACATCATATTTTAATGAAGTAATTTTTCAATCTTGACGACCCTGTATGAAATAAAACAGGCAGAAAAAAGCAGCCCTTGTCGAGTTTCTTGCCGGTTCTTCTCGGTACAAGGTGTATCGCCGTAGACTTACGAACCGATGGCATAGTTTCGATTTTCACAATTGCTATATAAGAGCCTAGACTGAATAAATGATTTTGGTTTGATATTATTATCCGAGTTTTTTTATACAAAGTTTTGTTCACAATTCGTAAATTACATTTGACTTGAGACTCAATTTTTTTGTCGATAACAAATTATGTCAAAACTGTCACAATGAAGATTTATTTAAAATATACACACATATATATATCTCAAATCAAACTATTGAAAATGCTTGTAGTTAAATTGTTTTGTTTCATACGTATTTAAAATAAATTGAGTTTCATAATATATACATTTCAAGTAGCAAATTATATAGAAAATATATTATTAGCAAATAATATATTTTCTTCTTCTAATTTTACATTATTTCTGTTCCGTTATGCTACGTACTATTCTGGACAAAAATTAACAGAAAGTCAATATACCGCCATCTAGTGGCGGTATATTTACTTCGTCATTAATCTTCATGGAGATTAAAGCAATATGAAATTCTGATTGTTACTTATAATATCAATATACTTGGTTGGTTGAATATCAATATCACTTATATATATATTTAAATCTCATTTAAAATTAAAATAACACTGTTGTTTTCTTTTGCTTTATAACAATTAAATTATTCATCCAGAAAAACCAGTTGTGAAGAGCGAGGCGTCCTCTAACAATGCATAAACTGTCAAAACTTATATATTCCTAACGATTGTGTACTCTACCCAAAGGTCATCAGTGTTTGCCAGTCTGTTTGTTCAATTGTGTAATAACCAAACTCCGGTATTTTATGTACCGAATCACATATTCCTAGTATTGATAGGTTTTGATAAAAAAAATTAGGGTTTAGGTAAAACTTGATTGTCTGTCCGTCTGTCACCTAATAGACCGTTAAAATTTTTACAGATGATGTAATTATGTTGCTGCTATAACAACAAATACTAAAAAACAGAATAAAATAAATATTTACGGGGTTTCCATAAACAACATACGTGATACTTAGTTGTTTTTATAGAAA